TTGTTTTATGCATAACATTTTTCTGAGGGGACCATAGACTTCACCACATTGGCAGAGGGGTCCATGACAGTCATTCAGGCAGTGAGCATTCATTAACTGCTTACTGTGTACTGGGCCCTGTTCTGAGGGCTGGAGATAAGGGCAGAAAACAATCCCCTTTCAAGGAGCCCACCTTCTGATAGGCAAGAAAACCTGCAAACAGCTTTGTGCAAATAAGATATTTAATAAGGATGAGTTGGAGTCTCAGAAGCAAGGCTCTAGAATTAAGAGGGGGTGGGAAAGACTTCCTATAGGAGGTGGAATTTTGGCTGGGACCTGAAGAACTCAAGGAAAACAGGAGGTGGAGAGGAACAGGGAGGGACTTCCAAGTGTGGGGGACAGCCAGGGCAAATGCACAGAGTCTGGAGATGGAGTGTCTTGTTCAAGGAGTAATAGAGTCGTAGAGTATGAGTTTGGCGGAAGGGTAAAGGGAGAAGGTAGGGTGTAATAAGACTGGAAAAATAGGGAAGGGTTAGGTAGGGCTGTGAGGGGGTCACTGGAGTTTATTGAATGGGAGGGGGTGGTGACATGATCAGACCTACAGTTTAGGAAGTGATTTTCCTGGAAGAAAACCTGCAAGTATTGTAGTAAACCAGGTGGGAGGTAATGAGGGTCTGAATTAGAGGGGAGCGGTGTCAGAGAGAAGGGGGTGTGTTTGATAGATATTGTACAGGTGACATCAACAGGCCTTGGTAGATGGTTGGAGCGGGGTAAGAGATAGGGAGGAATCTAGGATGGTAGAAGATGAGAGTCTTTGGGACCAGGAGGATGGTGGGAATCTTGACAGAAATCGGGAAATAAGTCAGAGGGGAGGTTAAAAGGTTAAGAACCTCTGAGCTAGTCCAACAGCCTGCATAAAGTAATTTGTTGAATTGAGTTCTGATGCTAAGTCCACCTTGTCCGTTATACTGCAGAGGACGCCATTGCCTTTTAACTTCTCTGTGTTAAAGGCAGAGGTTCCTGGACCCTAATCTGAACAGCGGGCATTCCCTTGACCCCCTAGACTTCCCTAAGCCCTGGGTTTTGGGTCTGACTCCCTCCTACTGCCCTTTTCCTTTGCCCTCTCCCACCTTGTGCCCCACCCCCCATCAACAGGGATTTTGAGCATCTGTTCCTTACCCAGTGGAGTCTGGGGTCGGCAGTTGACCGCTCATATCAGACACTATTTTGAGGACGGGGGTGGAGAGACCCCAACATATGGCCAGTGACTGGGGGTAGTACCCATGGGAGGATGGGCTGTGAAGCCCAGGGAAATCTTGTTGGGGCAGGGCCAGCATCTAGCATTAAGCTAACTAGGCATTTTGTAGCCCCTTCTGACTTATTTCCATAAGCATCCGGAATGGATGGAATCCAAATTTGAGTGTTAACCTTAGTCACAGCTGTCCTTGAGGCAAAAGAACACTCTTCAACTATTTCCTCCCCAAGAGGTCATTCCCCTTTCCCCTACTTGTTAGCCATTTTCTGGAATTATTTGGTTAGGGGTTAAAGCATTTTGTTTCATTATTAGATCTGAAAATTCGAATCTCTAATTTAATATACAGCCATGAAAGAAGTAAGCTGGGCTCCCCTTCTGCTGAGGGTAAGGTGGCATCACTCTCTTTCCCCAGAGTTGAGGTTCTTGGTGCCCTACTCATACCCAAGCCCGCCATCTTGCTGTTTCTCTCCCGTGCTTATCTCTACCTCCTTGTGTGTCTCTTATGGTACCCATTTTCCTCTATCAAAATGATTTGTGTTTATAGCTTCACTCCCCTATTATATCTTAAATAGAACCTTGGAAAGAAGATTTTTTTTCACCCATTATTCCCCTGGAGGTTTGCCCCGCCTTGCTGGAGTAGGTGATCAGTAAAATATTTTGGGAATTGAAGAACCGATTGAAAGATGGCCCTAGCCAATGCCTGTGAAGCCACTGGCTCTCAGAAGGTGCTGGGACTTAGATGTTTAGGATGGGAAGATGAAGTAAGACAGGCTCTCCCTGCCCTCTGGGAGCTTTCAGTCCAATGTCTGGTCGCCTTGGAGGAGGGAAGGGAGGCTTCACAGTGGAGTTGTATGGCTTTATATTCATTGGTAGGAGAATGGATGGAGGTGGTCATCTTTCTGTGTGGCTACAGGTGCTCGCCCTTGGTTTGGGGGAGTAGTTTGAATGACTCCTCAATACAAGTCATTGGTGACCAGAGCTTGCCCTAGACAAGACTTCAAAAGTAACAAAGCATTTGGGGGGGGTAGCCTCACCTCCCTTTTCTGTACCTTTTCCTTAAAGTGCCCACTGTCCCCAGGTAGCCAGGAGTCACAGCCACTGGAGGCATGGTAGTACAGTAGTAAGAGGGCTTCACTTGCCGTCAGAGGACCTGGATTCAAATGTTGACCCTGCTCCTTATCACTATTGTGACTTTAAGCAAGGTACTTTACCTCTGGGTCTCTGCTCATCTGTAAAACGGGTTAGGTGGCCTTCAAGTTCCCGTCCAACTCTATAATTCATTGACTTCTAAGTCTGAAATCGTGACCCCACTGGTCACCTAATTCATGCTAATGGGTCGGTAGTAGACAACGAGCTCATTTGTATTTTAGAAGGTTGGTGTTTAAGGAATGGCTCACCAGTGGTGGAATTTCAGACCCCTTTGTACTTGGGTTGGGATAGATTAGGAATCTGGAAACCCCTTCGCTGCCCCTCTCAGATCATGACTTCTGTAACTCCTGAGGGGTCCTTGGAGGTCATGCATCCAGTCCCCTTTCGTTTTCAGATAAGACAATAGATGAATTTCAGAAATGACTCGCCCCTGGTCGCCCAGAGGCGGATGGCCGAGTTGGGATGGTGAGCTCCCTCCAAATCCAGGGCTCTCTGCACTGGACCGTGAAACCACACACCAGGTCCTTAAAGACAGTAACATTTCTCCTGCTTCTGTCTGCATGTTGGCAGCCCCGCCAGTTTGCCAGTCAGCATCCTTTTAGAAGACTCCCTGCCCCGAAGTCTTTCTTTGGTCATCGCTTGGTGCCAGATTGTGGTTATCGAGGCAGACATCCCCTGAGGCTAAACCCTATTTGATCCTGTGAACCAGTGAGATGATATTGGTGAAGCACTGAGCACAGTGCCTGGCACACGTAGTAGGTGCTATATAAAAATACTCGTTCCCTTCCCCCCTGTATATGGTAATAAGTCAGTAAATATTTACCAAATGCCTACTGTGTACCAGCCTCCGGGGATGCAGAATTCTCAAGGAACTCACAATGATTACAGCAAAGGGATTGCCGTTACTCAGGGGTACATATTCTTCCCACTTTCTGGGGGCTACGGGGGCCCACTGCTTTCTCTTCCCAGGCCTTGTGCTCGGCCTTGTGCCCTTTGGGTCCAGAGTTAGGTACCACCGAAGGATGCTTCCACTGGGGCCCCCAAGGATGGAGTTGACTGTGGGAGTGGAGGTGCTAGGGGATGGTGAGCGAGTCAGCCCTGTTTCTCACTCCTACTAAAGTTAACTGTTAACGCAGTAGTACAGAAGTCTCTCCTTCAGCCAGCTGGTTTGGGACTCCACTGGAGCAGACAGCATCACACATAGACATGTGGCCATTACGTATATAATCTGCATGTATACTAGTCCTTTCAACCTGTGTTTTGTGCAGAATATTTTCTATAATCAATTCCTGAAAATTGTACCCATAAATCATACACACCCCTGTTCAAGTATTAAGGTGCATTCAGGGTGCTTCCTCAGCTGGTTTAGTCTTTTAACTTTTGATTAGTGAAAAGCGCAGGCCTGTTGTTCTCCCCACCTTTTCCCCCCGCTGCTCCACCCCCATTTTGTTTTCTCTATGTTTGCCAGATTGCCTTAGGAAGCTTGTTGCCCTGAGAATGGATTTAGCCAAGGAAAACTCTTATCTCTGAAAGGAAGCAGTCTGTGTGTTTCTGCTGGAGATATTCTTGGCTACTTAATATTTTTGTGAATTATTATCTTTGATAGCAGGGCCTGCTCTCCAGAGAGTTGGAGGATATTGGGCATTCTTAGACTTTCATGCACAAAAGGAAAATATCTCACTCTGAAGTCTAGAGAAGGGATAAAAAGTCATTCCGCTTCTATATTACTCTGCCTAAATAAACAGAGACACCTCATTGTTTTTAAACCCCTAAAGACCCCGTGCCCAGCACGCCATAAGATGTACATCATTTTAACATTTCTCTGGGTTTTTTTCCCCTCTTTCCTTTCTGTGGCTACAAATCTCTTTTCAAGCACATGTTGATTTTCTGCTTTACAATTTCTGTTGCTGTGCTATTACCGTTCAGTCTGCTTTCATTTCGGTCTAAAATGACTACCTAAGAGGGCTGGAAGCATACTATTATTTCTCATGGTTCAATCTAGGAAAGGAAAAAGGGGGAGGGGGAGAGGACTTTTAGCTCAAGGGCCATAAAAGTGCTACTGTCTCATTTTAAAAATGTTTTCTGAATGTAAATACCGGTCTAATAATTGCTATTGAAGGCAGAGAACTTTGGGGTCTGAAGATTGTAACAGCGACTCATTATTCTGCGCCTGTGATGGATCTATTAGGTTTTTTTTTCCTTTTCCCCCGATACGTTGACAACATAATGTAGTCAATTGCATCTTGAATCACGTTTTTATCGGGCACACAAATGATGGTGAAACATATCCCCTCCAATGCACGGGACTCTCCCCAGCCTAGGTGCAGGTAGAACACAAGTGTGCTTTGTGTGGCCGTGTGAAAGCGTCCAACAGCTGGTAATTGTCTCTTAAGGGAAGTCAGATTCTCATGATGAATATGGCCCATTGGTCCCTGAGTTATTTATTCAATTAGGCCCTACATTTCATAAATGCCAGAAGGCAGTTTATATTTTCTTCACGGAAATCACATAGACTTCTATATCTTTTAAAAACAAAGTGTCAGGAAAAAAAGGCATTCATGGCTATTTTTCTCTCTTCCTCCCTCCCCCTCCCCTGCTTCCTTTCCCTCTCTCTTAGGCAGCTGTTGAAATGGGTTGTGGACTGAATAAGCTAGAGAAACGTGATGAAAAACGGCCTGGTAATATTTATTCAACTCTGAAGAGGCCTCAGGTAGAAACCAAGATCGATGTGGCCTATGAATACCGCTTCCTGGAGTTTACCACGCTGAGTGATGGTAAGTGTTTCTGTGCATCTTCCCTGGCCGTGGATGTGAATTGGGAACTGAGCGCACCATTGTAGCCTTCTCAGTGGACGGGATTGCTCTGTGGCAGATAATCTCATGCATTAATAAATGAGAGGGAGTCCTCTTCCCAGAAATTTGGCTTCTGTTTCTCCACCTACCCTCCCATGGCACGTGGAGAGAGGTAGCCATCCGAGAAGCTGCCTGGTTTTGCCTTTCCTGGAATAGGGTCTTTCCAAAGTGGCCATCACTGTGGGCAAAGGGCCCAAGAGCACATGGATTGACGCATGAGGTTCTCAAGGGAGATTTCTGGAAGAATCAGGGTTTTCCGTCAACTTTCAGTGTCGACAATAACTCCATCGCCGATGCAGACTGCATTCTATCTGTCCCTGTGTGAGCGCTCCATCACCAGTGCAGGTTGCAACCCATCTGTGATTTAGATAAGTGCAGGAGTGTTGCTTGTGGTAACCGAGGTAGTAAGTGTCGCAGACTGGACTTGAACTTTCATCTACGTGACTCCAAGCCAAGAACCCTGTCTGACACTACCTTCAGTTATTTGCCTATCAGGATTATCAGTAGCAGGTATTGAAGTGTGTTGGCATTATACTAGGCACTGGAGAGACACAGAGATAGCATAAACTCCAATTCCTGCTCTCTAGGAGTTTATAATTTAGTTATGTGTGTGGGTAGATATATCAGGAGCATAAGATTACAGATTGAAATCTGGGAGGCCGTCCAGTACAGTGCCCTCATTTTTCAGATGAGGAAACTGAGATCCCAAAGGTGAAAGGACTTCACCAAAGTCATACAGAGGGATGACTAGATCATCTCACTCTGGAGTGGATTCCTTTTCCAGTGAAGGCAGTGCCTGGTGAAGAGCACTTCCTCTGGAATTTTTAGTTAGAAAGTGTTGTTCAGTTGTTTTGGTCACGTCTGACTCTTTGTGGCCTGATTTGGGGTTTTCTTGGCAAAGATACTGCGGGGGTTTGCCATTTCCTTCTCCAGTTCATTTTACAGATGAGGAAACCGAGGCAGACAGGGTTAAATGACTTGGGCAGGGTCATACAGCTGGTAAGTGTCTGAGGCTGGATTTGAACTCGTGAAGATGAGTCTTCCTGACTCCAGGCTGGCGCTCTGTGCACTGTGGCACCGCCGAGCAGTCACTTAGGGAGTAGCCTGGGACGTTGAAGGGTGGAATGGTTTGTTCAAGGTCACAACGCCAGTGATTCCAAACTTGGCCCTCTGTCCAGTCTGCCATGTTTCTCTCCGGTGCAGATACGGTGTGTAGCATTTCTAAGGTTTTAGGTGACTTGAGGTCCTTTTGCCCTGTAGTCAGTCAGCTAACTAATGTTTATTAAGCTCCAGCTGTGAGCCAGGTGCTGTGCCTAGGGGTCCAGATTCTGTTCTTTACAAATGTCTCCAAACGAGTGAGTGATAAGTGTCAGGTCAGAGGCTGTAGAGCAAAGAATCCAAAGGAGAGAAACAGGACTTCTGAATGAGTTAATCAGAGGGTGCTCGCTGGAGGAGGTGGGCTTTGAGCTGGAGCCTTGAGGGGCTGGCAGTACAAATCTCAACCTCGCTTGTAGGATACCTGGCTCTCCAGCTCGGTATGAACCTCTGTTGATAAGTGGGATCATTTAAGTTGGCACTGTTCTGTTAGTGAATGTTGCCACCTGTGAACACCATGGAAATGTACATCCATTTTTTTTGTGTGACACATGGACCTATTTGATGGTCTTGGGAAGCCTGTGACCCCTTCTCAGAATCATGTGTTTAAATGCACATAGGGTAACAGAAGAAACCAATCAGATACTCAAAGGAAACAGGCTCAGGGAACCTGGATTAAGAGCCCTGTTTTAGATCATTGGGATTCGTCCTTAATATGGTTTGGTTCTGGCCTTGCTTACTCGTCAGCATCCTTCATTTATGTAGCTGCCAGGGTAGAAAGTCGTAGGCGTCTCAAGTGTGAAGAGAGCAGCCTGCCAAAAAACATAACTCTGTGGGATTTGACTGTGTCTTAAATTTTCAGTTAACTTTGGCCACTGAGGGATGAACCTTGCCCTCTGATGAGTTTCACCACAGCTGAACGCACCCAAGGCATGGCAATTTCTGTCAAACCATGGCTCTATGCCAAGTCCCTCTGGAGCCCCCCGAAAGCCACCTGAGTGGGTAAGCTTCCTGGAGTCGACTGTGCTCTCTCCATCTGTGTGGGTGCCAGTTGGCGTGGTTACAAGATGGTGCTGATGGGTCAATGTGGAGGGTTTGATCCCTGCACAGTGTGGCCCGCTTTGTATGTGTGAGAAAACAGTTATGCCAGCAGTATTCATCATGTCCCTAAATTCTCCTGGATGCTGGACAGATGGGTGCCCCACATCCCTCGGGGAGCTGGCTGAAACGTGGCATGTTGCCTCTGTGGCAGCCTGGCACCCCCAGTGAATGGCGGGCTGCGGGTTATTTTTGCAGGTACATTGCATGCTTGTGTTCTTGGATTGGTTTAGTGTTTGAGATCCTGGATGTGGTTTTGTGATGTATGAACTAGACTGAAATATTTCAGTTGACAAGCAGAACATTTGTAACTTGTGCTACATTAAAATAATAGTGATAATAAAAAGAACCCAGCCTTTCCCCTCCCATCATGCACTGTAACAATGCATGACAGGCTTTTGTATGTACTTTATTAGGATTCTGAGGTACCCACCTTTTTTTTGTTTTTTAATGTGACTCTTCAGGATGATAGTGAAACATCCCCTTGGGCTCATCTCCAATCCCTTATTATAATGGGATGTGGAGATTGGAGGGACCTGAGAGGCCATGTAGTGAAACCCCCTCATTTTAGAGACTAGTGAACTGAGGCCCAGGGAACTTAAGATCCTTGCCCAAGGTACCCCAGGTAAGCTTAAGTGACTTGTCCAAAGTAGCATAGGTAATATACTTCAGAAGTGGGCATCTCAGACTACCAAACTGCTACTATTCCCACTCTGTCACGCTGCTTCCTTCTCTTATAATTTTCCTGGTTAAGAAGTTTTTTAATAGCTAGCTAGCCCTCTGAATTAATCTTTTCCTCCCTTCCCTTCCCTTCCCTTCCTTCCCTTCCTTCCCTTCCCCCTTCCTTCCCTTCCCTTCCCTTCCCTTCCCTTCCCTTCCCTTCCCTTCCCTTCCTTCCTTCCCTTCCCTTCCCTTCCCTTCCCTTCCCTTCCCTTCCCTTCCCTTCCCTTCCCTTCCCTTCCCTTCCCTTCCCTTCCCTTCCCCCATTCTTTCTTCCTCCTTCTCTGCCTCCCTCCTTCCTTTTTAAAAAGCAAAATGTAGTTGTTGGGTTCTTCCCCCCCCCCTTTTAAAGCCTTTATCAAGCTCTTATGCTGTGTGTGTGAATTTTGGGGGGGTCATTCTGATAAGCAGAGCACCCCTCATTTATTGAAATCATTCACATAGTATGATGGATCATTACAAAGGTGAGTCTGCGTTTTGCTTTCTGCACAGGACACATGAGGCAGAGACCCCGGAGTGTAGCTTTTCAGAAGCAGAAGAAGATCCCCATGCCCTCTTTCCCCCCATTGGCCTATTCCTTGCCAGGAGAAAATAAAGATGATTCTTGACGAGTATTTTATCTCTTGAACACAAGGCCAGGTTGCTGTAGCTTTGCTTGGCCAGGATGGGGAGCGGGTCCTGAGCCTGGGGACCTCGGTGAAACGGCCCCTGGCTTCTCCTTGCTGGAGAGCTGATCATCTTGGCCCTGCGGTTTCCACGGTAACCACAGAGGTACCCGTAACCTCGGGGGAAGGGCCGTGAGTCTGCAGAGCTGGGCGTTACCTTTCAAGAAAATGTTCCTGCGAATCTCTTTTGCCCCATTAAAAACAACAGGGGAAAATTGCTTCTGATGGATTCTGTATTAGCTCCCTCTGCGTTGTCATCATAGTCATCAGTAATAGACATATGGAGTGCCTGCTCTTTGCACAGTAGTATAAGACAGAACCTGCCCTCAGGAGGCATACTGTCTATTAGGATGGGCATCCGTGCTGGCCTTAGAGTCTGAAGACCTTCATTCAAATCCTGCCTTAGATCATTATCTGGGTGTTGCTGTGTAGGTCACCTAGGCTAAGGCCCTTTCAGCCTTAGTTTCCTCATCTGTAAAATGGGTACACATTATTAATACCTACAGGACTTGCCTAGGATGGTTGTTGTGGGGCCAAAAGGAGACAATGAATGGAATGCGTTTTCCAAAGCTTAATTCAATGTACCTTATCTAGTTGGGGTGATGGGTCCCAAGGCATAAAACAAGTAACAGTATGAGGTAGTACCTCGGATGAGTGGTTTCTCCACTCTACTGCAGCTGATGATGATGGCAGTGGGGCTTAGGGCGGATTGGATGGAGAAGGAGGCTGAATGCAGGGAGCCCAGATAGGAGACTGCTGTAGTCATCCAGGGGAAAGATGGCAAGGCCTTGCACCCCAAGGGAATGGCTGTGGAACTGGGGGAGATGTGATGGTGAGAGATGATATGAAGGATCATGAGGACTTGATGATTGGAGAAGAGCTTGGCATCTTGGCTTGAGTCCATGGGCTAAGAACTGAACTTGGGGTCAGGAAGACCTTGGCTCAGATCCTGCCTGGGCACGCCTCCCAAGCGTCATCAGATGGTAGGAGCGGATGAAAATCAAATGAGATCAGGAATGGTAGGTGTTGTACAACCTTGAAGCAGGGCTTCTCAACCTGGCCTCCGTACACCTGTTTTTTAAATATTTTGGTAATTGTTTTTATTTCTTTATTTAGAAGGCAAAGTGACTTGCCCAGAGTCATACAACTAATAGGTGTCTGAGGCCAAATTTGCACTCGGATCCTCCTGACTCCAAGCCTGGTGTTCTATCCACTGCGCCACCTAGCTGCCCCATTTTTTTGTTTTTAATTTATTTAGGGAACTTTATTTCAGTATAACTGGTTTCCTTTGAATGTTGTCACATATTTTAAAACATCCTTCTGAGTAGGGGTCCGTAGCTTCAC